CTTCCATCCTCTGCCTAACAATCCTACAATTAGGAAGTGTAGTTACATCCGCCAAAGAGCTGTGATCATGAACATAAGATTCTGACAATTCGGCTCTTAAAGAAGATAAAAGACGGGAGAGTGCTTCCTCTGCATCCTACACTTCAGAAATATGTCAGTTAATGCACTAGAACTAGTGNAAAATTTTCCAATTACACTTAAGAGAATTTCTCTCTTAACTCTCTACTCACTACAATGTATTGTATTATTTTGGGATGATTTCTACAAGTGAAGGAGTGCATCTATTTATAGAGGTAAAGACCTCCTCTTGATGTCATTGGTGACATCAAACTACCTCCTCTTGATGTCATGGGTGACATCAAAGGAGGAAGCTTCCTCCTAGCATTCACACCAACTCTTTCCACCAACTCTTCTAATTGGCATGCCATTGTTGACTAAACATAAACCAACATTTTCAACCCCACTCCATCCTGTCAAGAGGATTAATAGTGTTCCCACTTACCGTCCAGCGTGACTTAAACCCTCCCATTTTACATTTTACGCCATCGCATTAAATCGTTTTGGATAATTTTGTCTCTAGTTTTGCTGGCTTTTCTCTTTAACTTTCTTGGAGGATATGATTGTGCAAGTACTCTTATATTCTCATCACACTCTTCAATAGTTTTTAGCCCTTCCTCTGTGCATAATATATGGCAAAGTTCTGTCGTTTATGTCATTATCTTGTAAGTGGGGCTAATAGACATGTGACTAGGCTAGAGCAACTACAGAATCTTCCTTGTACATGTAGCAAACATGTTCTACGACGTGCCGAAGGATACAGCAGTGTGATAATAAAATTGTATGATTGTAAATGTTCTTTCAAGTACCATTCAACCTGAAACGAACAACTTTGGCAGGTTAAAAAGCTACCAAGAATCCCATTAAAAGGCCCAAGAAAACTTTGCTGCCATCTCTCCTGTTCGCTTTCTCCTTCCATCCTCTGCCTAACAATCCTACAATTAGGAAGTGTAGTTACATCCGCCAAAGAGCTGTGATCATGAACATAAGATTCTGACAATTCGGCTCTTAAAGAAGATAAAAGACGGGAGAGTGCTTCCTCTGCATCCTACACTTCAGAAATATGTCAGTTAATGCACTAGAACTAGTGACGAAGATTGTCCACATACTGTAACGAAAAGAAATACCTGCTGGCTAGTTAGATTGAAATTAGGAATGTAACTACTCATGGTATGCATCAATCTCCGTGGACTTAGAACAGCTCTTCCATGTCGTGCAATACATAATTCTGCAAAACATCACAACAATCTTCTCATTGAACAGTTAATATCACTTGTGATAGGGAGGATACCCTTCACGTTTATTTCTTGAAGCAAAAATTATCTCTGATTTAGGACTAACAAATGTAAAAGAGTGGACATCTTCACTCTCCTGTAGGTAAGAGGAGGTAAGGTATAATATCCCCCTCCTCCATGTGCCTAGTATGTTTTTTATATCAATACACAACATAGGGCCAATTCCTAAACCATGGCTATCTTAATAAAATGCTGGAATGATATAAACTATACAGTTTACATATTCCAATTTGTACCTTTTTGGTCTTTTATATAACCACAAGCATTCATTCTGTTCTTGGTAGTGCTAACCACACCCTTCGACATATAACCATTCTGTGCATATTTGGCTGTGCTTCATCAATCCATAATTAACTAAGATGAAATTAACACAATCCATCACGCTTTATTGCTTAACCTCTACCTGGCTATAAGTTCTAACAGCACAAGCTTTTCTCCGTTTTCATTTGTATCCAAGTATGCACTCTAGTAGAACTCAAGTCAGCATTTATTCATACAAGTTCTACCAACCAATTCTACAATGTCACACTTCAAACTCACCTTCTATGAGCGAAGCCAAAGCAGCAATAACTGGCAGGTCTCCACTTCCTTCCATTGATGAACCCTCATATTCCTCCACAACGTGCTCAAGAAATTTGTTAAAGCTCTTACAGCTAGCTAAAGCCTGATCACAAAAACAAAAATCAAACTTATATCAAATATATTCATCAAAAAACCTCATACTTACAAAAACTAAGACTAACCAATCAGAAAAACCCAACTATAAATTTGCTAAAACTCAGATAGCAAGCTAAAAACTAAACATTTCTTCAAGTATATTCATAAAAACCCTCCTATTTACAATAATTAAAACAACCACATTAACACAACTCAAAAAAAGATGGATTTAGCATATTCATCAAAAACCTCTTATTTACAGTAATTGAGAACAAAATTCAAGAAAAAGTAGATTTTTTAAATTAAAAAATATGATCTTTACCTGTAAAACAACATTCAGGAAGCAATTATTTCCAAGATTTTGCAATCCAGGTATTGTCCAATAATAACTCTTCGAACTATGTTTCTCTGATACCATGAAGTTTCTGAGTTTGACATCTTTAATTGCAAATATGAAACCAGCAATACTTAGTAGAGTAGCAGCAACTGAGACTTGAACCCCATGAGCACTGACCCAATGGGATTTAAACCCATGTTTGAATTTGTCTACAAGTGAATAAGAATCTATATTTCCATGAATTTTCATTGTTAAGTATTGTCAGTTTCCGAAATTTTGCAGGAGATATTTGATCTCTATTTCAAGACGTTGTATAGGGAAGAGCACTGAGAATTTATAGAGCAGTTGAAGGTTAAGGGTGTGTTTGGTATAACGGAAAATGTGGAAAATGTGGAAAATGTATTTTTTTGAAAAATAAGTAGTAATCTTATTTATTTTCCGGTGTTTGGTACGCAAATTAAGAAAAATAACTTCTCAAGAGTATGCATAAATAATTTACATATGGAGGTACTGTCATATTATGGCGTTCAATAAAACAAACTATGGTTACTACTTCTTCAAATCATACAGAGATAATAGTTATTCATGAAGCGAGTCGAGAATGCATTTGGTTGAGATCAATAACTCAACATGTCCAGGAGCTAATGTGATCTTTCATGGGGAAAGGATATCCCAAAAGGGGGTATATTAAAGGAGACGGAACAAAGCACATTTTACCAAAATTCTTTTTCACGCATGATCTTCAAAAGAATGGTGAATTAGATGTTCAACAAATTCGTTCAAGTGATAATTTGATAGATTTGTTCATTAAGGCATTGCTGACATCACATTTGAGAAGTTAAGATACAAGATTGGAATGCGCGGCTCCAAGATATCAAATAAGGTTTTTATCAGGGGAAGAAATACGCGTTGTACTCTTTTCCTTAACCGAGGTTTTCTCCCATTTGGGTTTTTCTGGTAAGGTTTTAATGAGGTAACTCTTAAGGCGTATTACAAGATATATGTACTCTTTTTCCTTTACTAAGATTTTTCCCTTACTAAGATTTTTCCCACTGGATTTTTCTTAGTAAGGTTTTAATGAGGCACATTTTCTGATAGTGGACATCCAAGGATGAGTGTTATAAATCCTGCAAATGGATCCATCCACTTGCAACGATGGATGTCTCTCATAACAGGTTTTGGATTGGTTATGTATCCATAACAGGTTTTGGACTGGTTATGTATCCATAACAAGTTTTAGATTGGTTATGTATTCAACAGGTTTTGGATTGGTTTTGTAACAACGAAATGTTCCTATAAATAGGTTCACTAATGAACTTATTCCATACACTTTGAAAAGAAGAAATAAATCCTCTCTTCTGATGTTATCATTCTCTTCTATTATTAGTCCTAGTTAACTACATATCTCTTGTTATATTACTTTTATTTCATAATAATATGTGTTTAATCGTGCGGATAATACATAATTACTCTATTAAGGTTGCCCCGTTTTACTTTAACTTTGCGGGAGTCCTATGACCCACCTAATGTTGTTTAAAGTAAAATAAATTCCTCCTTTTTTCATAAGCATCAGTTTCACAAAAATATGTGAAACACACGCACCAATCGCATGATGCCATACATTTTCTTTTACTAATACTATTATTTGTTTCTTTTTAATCATTATTTATTTCATTTATTTTTTGTTTTTGTTTTCTTTCTTTTGGCTTCTACTTTCCTTATTCTTTTTGTTTCCTTTCTTCTTCTGCGTCAACATTGTCACCACTTTAGCCACCATTATCACTGCTATAACAACCATATCCACCACCAAAACCACCACTAAAATAAAATAAAAAACTAAATGTCACGACCCAAACCGTTGAACCGTGACGGACACCTGGTACCTTACTCAACCGACTACCAACGTAACGTATCTTTCGTATCATACTATCATAGTTAAATAAAACGGACAGGCTGATGTGAGATAAATAGAGTGAAACATGAGTGAACACTCGATATAGGATGACTCAACGTGTAATGCAAACTTATACATATGACATACGGACCTATAAGGCCAAAATGATCACTCATACACTGAACATAGGCTGATAAGGCCATACAATCTTTCATATACATGACATCTGTCTACAAGCCTCTAAGAGTACATAATATCATAAAGGTAGGGACGGGTCCGCGCCATACCAATCAATACATGTACTAATCATACTGACCAAATAAGCAACTCCGGAGTAAATGGAGCGCACCAACACTTTTCGCTGAGCTGATAGCCTACTTGGAGGACTCTTAACCTGTCTATCGGGACTAGAGGGAATGAAACACATCATCCCTAGGCAAAAGAGACGTAAGTACAAATAATATACCAGGTATGTAAGGAATAAAAATCAGTAAATAATAGACATGAGAGAAACATGGAGTAAAAGACTCAATATGTAAGCCTGCATAGCTCTGTGAATCATTTAATATTTATAATGTCATGCATATGCGTATAAATGTCATACCATGCATAGGTATATGCATTCATAACATCATCAAGCCTCTGAGGGCATCTCATCATATCATCTCGACCGCTGTGGGCAAATCATCAACGTATACCAGCTGATTAGGTGGTGATGCATATATAACGTCGTAATCTTTTCCCATATCCCATATACATATATATATACATACATACACGCGTGTATAACGTCATCTGGTTATGGGTCAATGTACATCTATAAATGAATGTAATGCATGAGAAGTACATCAATAAAATCTCTCGGAACGTCATAAGACCATTATGCCTTTGATTAATGTAATGAAATAAACTTTATCAACTTACGTATTTTCTAAGATTCATGAATAGATGATAGAACAATAGGACACACGGGGAATCAATAAGTAGGCACTTCTAGTACTTCTATGAGTAGAGTCATTTATAAAAGTTGTACATTTGCTTGTTTTGTTTATGTCATATGGAGCATGCCAAAAAGAAAAAAGGGATAACCTTAACATACCTGAGTCGATTCTCTTGACAAATCCCTCTAAGATATGTCAATTGCGACGAAACACGTAACGGCGGATCGAAGTAGGGAAGAATCCGTATGATATTCTTGAGAAAGATTGCACCGTACACCCTTAGAATCACAAAATCCCGTTGCTATTATGCTAAGAAGTTTCGTATGAATCTCTTGCTGAAGCTATTTACATTGCTATGAAGATAGATATATCTCTCTTTCGTGAATTTGATCATATTCTTGTATGATTTTTGTTGAATTTGTGAAGTCTTACCTTAGTGGGTGTGGCCCCACTAGGTGATGACTTAGCCAAGAGCTCCTCCAAAATGTGCTACCTTGTTTTGTGAGTTAAGACTCATTATCAATGCCTCTTTGGGCTGCCACGTTGGGGGGATTAAACTTATCTAAGAATTCACCCCTTTCCTTGACTGTCATGTCCCAAAATCCCACAACAGGCATCTTGATGGCACTTAGTCTCTAAGACTAAGTAAACCAATCATAAACAATTCAAGTTATTTTTAAAAAATAAATAAATAATCGAAGCCAACAGCGGAAATAATGATACAACACCCCAAGATTGGCAATACTGAGTTACAAACTCTAACTGAATACATGAAATGATCTCAAAAAAATCGAATATACAATATAGTTCGAATAATATTTGACAGTACGATAAAATGGAAAGACTCCAAGGGACTGCGACGACCAAGCAGCTCTACCTTGAATCCTTGCGATCACACTCAAACTCTGTCCGAGTCTGATATCTCCAATACTTGGCTCTGCACAAAAATGTACAGAAGTGTAGTATGAGTACATCACAGTCGGTACCCAGTAAGTATCAAGACTAACCTCGGTGGAGTAGTGACGAGGTACAGTCAAGACACTCACTAGTCTAATAACCTGTGCAGTATAGCATATAAAAATAGCAATGATAACAACAATAGCAATGATAACTATTAGCAGGAAGCTAATAGCAATGATAACAATAATAATCAACCAGTGATATAAACAACAAGGTAGCAAGAACACTATAAATATTGCTCAAACAATAATGAACACAAGTACAACCCAATAATCAAGTCTTACAAAATATACATCTTTCATCTATAAGTTTTTCAAATAAAAATCTTTAGAATATAGTCCTTTCCAATAAATATATTTCGAATATACTTCCTTCAAATAAATATCTTTCAAATATAATCCTTTCAAACAATAGTTTGAATTTTATTTTATCAAATGAAAGTCATCTTGTGACACCTCATTTCATAATCATAAAAATACGGGTCTCAATCCACTTTTATATTTCCACGGCACCTCATGCCCATGTTTCTATCACAACTGCATGGACTACTCACGTGCCAAAAATATCAATATATAAAAATTTGCACGATCAATTTACTTTAGAAATAGTTTGAGTGAAGAAAATGACATTGCACTTAAATTAAAACATTAGATAAACTACTGATTGGATGTAATACTTATTAATTTAAAACATAATAGAAATTTTCTTTTATTTAAAATAACTCAGTCATCGAAAATCAGTAAAAATCAGAAATATAAATCTTCAGAGTCTCGTACTAAAAAGCCAAAGTCAACACAATACAACGAGCACAAAACACATAATAATAAAGTCAACTAGTACATCACCGAAGAAGACAAGAATTTACATATCACGGAAAAATAAAATAACCAAAGGCAAGTGCATCCATAGAAAGATGTCAACAAAAGGGCACTCCCGAGGTACCGCCTCGTAGTCCCAAAAGTAAATATGCAAGACAGGGGGATCTCCTGAGTACCGCCTCGTAGTCCCAAAAGTAAATATGCAAGACAGGGGGGATCTCCCGAGGTACCACCTCGTAGTCCCAAAAGTAAATATGCAAGACAGGGGGATCTCCGAGGTACTGCCTCGTAGTCCCAAAAGTAAATATAATTTCAACAACTGCACATCAAGTGCTCACATATCACAAATGGCGCATCAAATACTCAAATATTACAACATATTATAAATTGCACATCAAGTACTCAAATATTACAACTTGCCATAGAAATCAACAATATATTATTTTTCCACAATAAGAAGCCCACGGCTCGGCCATAATGTGCACAAAAATCTTAACAAAATATCCGGAAGTAAAAAACTCAATAAAATAATATTTCATAATTTAATACTTCGCCTCAATATGATTTACGGCTTTTATAACTCAATACAAATTTCAACAACATGAACTGGAAAGTAATTCATCAAGGAACAACGCCTTCTTTAATCTAAATTTTTGGCAAATAGATTAATACCTCCTTTTAAAAT